TTTTGAATATTTTAACAAATAACACCTTACTTTTATTTTATTGTAATTTATGACTACGTAATCATTGCAAGTTCAATAGTGATTCAGGTATACCTCCAAAGGTTTTGAAAGCTTCTTAAAGTTTTTTTTCTGTTGACTAACAAAGTAAAAATTTAAGTGTTCGTAGAAAACTGATAACTTTAAAAGAATTTTGAATTACACTAAATTCTAGGATTTTAAAATGAGTAAATGCCAGTAATGATGCGACTACTATTTGAACTTAGGTTGAATGGTTTGAAAAGGTCACATGATACTAACCCAGATTATAAGCATGCCGAGGGCCATTGTACAGTTCGGCACAATATCCTTCTAATCAGTAGCCTCAACACGACTTCGCAATATTTTCAGAACACAACGTTGCTAAAAGCTTGTACATTTTCTTATGGGATTTATCTCTAATAAGAAATCGCTTAGATTAATCAGGTCTATATCTAAACTTAGACCATAATTATTCAAATACAGACAAAAATACAAAGAAGTTATCTTATTAAATGAAGAAGTTCTAAATAAAAAAACGAAATTACGAATCGCGATCAAGCCGACCAAGTTCATGGTGAGAAGATAAGAATAATTCATTTAATACGTCGAAGTTTTTCAACAGCGAGTAGATAGGTTATTAATAATTGCAGCGTATATTCATAACTGGGCTCATTTATAGCCAGTTTGGGCGTGCTCGAACTGAAAAGATGGAGCGATGCATCCTTTATAGAGGGCGCGCGGGGCGCGGGCGGAGGCAGGGCGGGCGGCGGCGCTCCAAAAATTGCACATAAATATTGAAGCTGCCACTTACACGTGCGCCTGCCAGACTTAGTATGGACATACTTTTACATACAAAAAATAATAATTATTGACAAAGTTTTAAATTAATAATTTATACATGCATCAAAGATTGAAAAGACCTCTATTACTTATCTTACTACAAGATAAAATATTCTAAAACCAAAAATAAGAAAAATAATTACACTATTTACTTAAGCATCTATAGTTTACAATTATTTCTAGTTTCAAGTAACTGTATCCATTATTGTGGAAGTCAGACATACTTAAGGAACATCACAGTATTACGCAAAAACAGATAAAACCCTGTTTTCGCTGCCATCTCCTATTTTTAGATTATTCAACAATAATCATTGCAGTAGTAAATACAATTATTTGACATTACTACCCATACTTTGAGAGAACTTATCACTTTTGAAAAGTACAAAGCAAATACACATAGACTTTTTCGCGGTAAAGTAACTGCGTTATACTTAGGTGTATCCACATTATTATATCGCGCTAGTATGTTGCGAGCCCTCTTTCTTTTTCTTGTAGCAAATTTCGCAACAATCTCACTTATTATGCCACACAAATTTCCGCGCCCCCGGCCGCCTCTAGACGTGAAATTAAAATTTTCTACTTACCCTCCGGCTTGTACACCGCCGGAATGGCTTAATAAATATCCTATATACCAACTACGCCCGCTCTACAGGGTTACGTTTATCGATTAGATAGAAACAAAATGATATATGCCTTCGATCATCACCACGCCACAGTATATAACTTTTTTATCAATATATTTTTTCTCTAGATATTTATTATACATAGTAATTCATAGATTAAAAAACATAAAGGCTACTTCAAGATTGTTTCATCGGGAGATATCACTAAAACAAAAAACGACACACACACATTGGTTAAATCTTTTAAAGTTTTTTTTATGAATTAGTCAATCACTCACGTTCTCGTGACGAAAACAGTTGCATGGTTGAAGAGATCTCATAATAGATGTAACTCTTTTCATCGGATGGGTCGATAGGAATCTTCTTTAAATATATGTTCTTCTTTACTATCGTATCGAATTGGAATATTAGCATAGGTTAAAACGCATGAAACATTTTTTGGTTTTAACTTATACTGTTGTTCTTTGATTACAGGTTTTGATGCTGATTAAATGGTGAGTTACTTACATTTTATACTGAATAAAGGATCTTAATAGACGTCGCCTATAACTTTATATTGTTTCCTAATGTAATAAATTCATACTGTTTTGAAAAGTCCCCTATAAGTTAAAAAATAAAAAAAATATTTTTATATGAAGTTTTATTTGAAGCTATTCGGCGTATCCTTATTTTACTAATTTAATAAAATTAAACTTTTAGGTGCTATTTAAAAGCTTCGAGAGTCAAAGAGTAATCCTTGAACTTTACTTCACGACATACCTTTTATACTCTTTGACAAATCAGAGATATGTATTAATTAATAGTCAATCCAATCGAAATTAATAATGGTATGCAAATTACAAACAAATGGTAAGTAACACAAGGAGACAGTGATCGGCGAGATGGCAATAACTGTCTCGTATCGCGTCCAGATGGGCGTCACACTGACAGACTGACTTTATATCGAATTGGAAACCGTCGGATCTATAAACTGATCGTTAAATCTCGCGGACCGATAGTTGTAAATTTTCTCAGGAGTCGAGAACTTTTACGATGGACGTTCGCCCCACCCACCTGGGACTTTGTGGCTCTCTCGATTGCCTCTTGCCCATCGATCCCCTATAAAATGGGGCGTGATGGTACACCGGTCTCTTTGCTGCGAAAGCCTGCACTCGCATTTAGTTACATTTTACGTGTTATGCTATTATATCGATGCACGTGAACCACTATTGTGTATCGTAAACTTCATATGAGTAAAATATGGATTGTTATGGCCTGTAAAAATTTTAATGTTATTGAGATGTTAAAATACATTGAGTCTTCTATATCGTCGTGAATGCGATATTACTCGTTAATTCACAGCTTTCCTGCAGCAATATAGTTTGTGAATGATCTAGTTCGTTAGATGTTCATATAAATAGTTATAAAAACTAAAACTGTTATGTTTATAAAAAGGTACCTTTAGGATCCAAGGTACCTTTCTTCATTGAATAATAACAGTCCATCTCCATATTATGAGATCTTGTACATTTTTATAATCAGAAAGGATAATTGTTTAATTAATATATAAAAATAATATATAAAATTCTAATAAGACACATACGTAATTGCCTTATGGGTTTCCAATTGGAAGTTATAAGACTCACCCATTGTACCCAGCATTGAGTTCCTTATGTGTCAACAAATCCTACTACGGATAGAAAACTATCTTTTAGCAACTTATTCAGCTATTAGTAACTTTTGGTTTATTGGTATCGAGTTTTAATAAAGCCGTGAGTTACTATGTCAGATATGTATGAAGCTGACATAACATATTTGTAGTAACAACACTCGTCAAATAAAAAATATTTTTTTACACTGGTTTGGTATCTAATAATTAAATTAATTTACAAGTACAGTGGTCTTTGCTCGCGGTATACTACCTCTGAAAAGACAACAGTTAATTTTTTTTTATTAATAAGAAGACAGTACTAAATTCGTCACCAGTATACTCATTAGATCTTAGTAAGACGAGGTAGTTTATACTCTTTGCAATATGGAACACATATTTTGTTTAACTGGAATACCGCGAAAGAATGTGACTGTACCTATATAAGTATTTGACGTAAAATGTTTTTAAATATTTTATTCTTATATTGCTTATTGTAAATAATGTATTACTTTGCGTACTTATTTTAATAGCGCAATTTAGATTAAAATTCAATAAAATGATCACGTCAAAAGCTTCGTCAAGCTACATTGTATCACAATAATGTAAATAAACTTAAAGGTTAATCTTAATTGCAATAATAACTACATTGTGATGAAGCAATAAAAATCATATTCCTACACAATAAATAATAGATAAGGACGTAAATAGACATTAATTTCCGTATTTACAATTCAAAACAATTAAATTGTCATAAAAAAATTGCACCTATCGTAAAACGAATGACCCTAACTGGCCATATCATTGCTCCCTATACATTTGTGGCATAAAGATCACAATAACAACATAAAACCTATACTTATGCAATGTTCTACTGCCTCACCGTCGTACTAGCGACCTGATAAAGCTGAAAAGGCAACTTAAGCCCATAAAAACCATGCACTAAACGCGGTCAACAATCGAAAGCGATGTAAATAAATAAATTTCTCACACAATAAACGGTTTTATTTAAATCGTCGTAAAGTTTGTTATTGCGCACGTGCTCGCCGCGGTTACGACTTACGGGGATGAATGAAATGCGCGAGAGAGACAAGTAGTATGCCGAAAAAGGACAGACTATACCGGTTGGCCACGTGGTCGGTGTAAAACAACTTCGTATAATTCTGCCCCGTGAAAATAAGTGCTTTATTTGAAGATTTATTTCGCATAAGTTTCTTATTAGAAATTGTTGAAAAATGTCCATTATTAAAATATTTAGCACAAGATTTTTTTTATTTATCCCTTATAAATAATATAAAAGTTTTAAAGATAATACACTTTTAATATGTAATTTTCTACTTTTGTTACATCTCTCGCAAAAATAATTCATTTTTTCCACAAACCTAAATACTATTTAAACTCATTGTAAACTTTACTTCGCTTAAATATATGTTACCGTATTGATTTATTTTGTGACCTAATAAATATGTATATATTTAATCGACATACAATATACAAAAATCATTGATGTATTACTAGAGGTGTAACTTATTTATAATTTTTTTGAATTATTTTCGATTTAAACACAGTCACATATATGTATAGACATAGAAATATTGTGAAAAATGTTTTTAAATGTTTATATGTAAACGATTACCAAGATGTTTCTCCAGGTTTCATTAACTTAGTGTTAGATTATAAGTTTTTATTATTGGTGATATATTTCATGGTCAAGGTAAAATATGAAATCGAGGGATGGTAATGAGTATACACTGTAAATTATATAGATAACATTTTATTTTATATTTTTATAAATATTGTATTTTCTAAAAGCAATATGTAAAAAGCTAATAATTGAATGTTCATTTCATTTAAAACATTTAAATCTTTAGTTTTTAAGTTGTCTGAGCTCGAAACGAATATTTGAAAAACTGTTGCAGTTTGGTTTAAAACCATTCAGTTTGACAGCTAGAAGTGCCGGAATGGTTTGTGATTGGCGGCGAATGATCTGCAGCGAGGCACTATTGGCGTAGCGGCGGGGCGTGCGGGGTGCGCGGGCCTCCCGCCATCGCCAACAATGGCCGGCGGGAAACTCGTTAGCGAATAGCTTTTATCTCTTTCTAATATGCGCTACGCAGGTAGGAATTAATGAGACGGAGAGGTTTCCGTCCCGGCGCGTTACATAAATTCTATCCCTCTCGCACTCGGTGCGTCCGATTCGCCTTCCCGCTCTCAGAGCGCGGCGGCGGTAACGCTCGCCGCGACGGGGAATTCAGAGTCGTAGAGCCTCATACGCGGGTCATAAACGATCCGCGGCCATACTAGAGGTGCACGCGCGCGAATCGATCCGAATCGCCGGCGATAAACGCATCCTCCCGCGAGGCGTACGTCGCGCGCCGCGTCGCCGCCGAGCGATGAGTTCCAAGTTCATCATCGATAGCATGCTCCCGAAGTACCACCAGCAGTTTCACCACCAGAACCTATTCGCGGGTGCGGGGGCGTCGCCTATAGAGGCGTCGCTGTCATCTTCGTTGTCGTCGTCGCTGTCATCGTCGTTGTCGTCGTCGCTGTCGTCTTCGCTGTCGGGCGCGGCGGCTCTGGGCGCGGGCTCGCCGGGAGCCGGCAGCCCGCAGCGGTCGTCGTCCTCGTCATCGGCGTCGCCCGGCGCTCCTACCAGGATGTACCCCTACGTATCGCACCACCAGCAGTTTGGGGGCTCGGTGCCCTTCACCGGCGTCGGGGCGGACGACAAGAGTTGCCGGTACCCCGCGGCGGTGGGCGCCGACCCTATGATGAACTACGCGCTGACGCAGCATAACGGTGGAGCGGCGGTGTCGGCGGCTTCTGCCAGCATGGCGGCGGCGGCGCAGTTCTACCACCAGGCGGCTGCCTCCGCCGCCTCAGCCGCTTCAGCCGCCTCGGTGGACGCCATGGGAGCTACCTGCGCGCAGCCCTCTGCCCAGCCGCTGCCTGACATCCCGCGCTACCCGTGGATGTCTATCACTGGTATGTTCCCTTCATTGCATGTCCTCGTGAATTCTGTAGACAGTTACAGTTTTATTTCAGTTTAAGGCTTTGTTTTCTGTTGTCAGACGCGTTGAAATCATTTATATTAGAAACAATAGTTTAATGAATGTAGTTTCCGAATATTACTATCACTTATGTTTTCGCGCCTTCTTGTCAATACATTGCTAAACGTGCTTAATAAGAATGTAGTTGTTATTAGTTATTTATTCTGGTTTATATATATTGTATTCGTCGGCATCCGAAGGGCGGTAAATTCTACACTTCGGTGTGTATACTTATGCTAAGATTGACTAAATAACTATACTATTTATTTGTTAAATACATATCCAAAATACTGTAAAAGATATCTACGTATGTATAAATGGTATCACCAAACATTAACAATAACAGATTAAAACCAATAAGATATATTAACTATTTTATTAATTGGTTATTGCCATTGATTGTTTATTAAATAATATCAATCGGAGTAGATACGAGTTAAACTCATATAAATGCTATAAACTTGACCATTAAGTGTTATTTTATAGGTATATTTATGTTAAAAAGACTTCATATTTGAAAACAAAAATTATGTCGACGCGTCACTGTCTTTAATTACCTGTTTAATTACACACATTCATAATTAAAAATGTAGATCAGAAGGTAATTGTAAAGTTTCATGTTCCGTATCGCAGTCGTTAACAACGCCCAGATATTTTCCCGCCGACGCCGACGGCGGAATGTTTTATACCCGAACGAATTATTCCAACATTTATTTCAATTACCAGGAACAAAACGATTTAAATACAAAGAATCTCATTGTTTGGATTTCAATCTTGAATATAAATACACTGGTTTATAAAATTTTGGATCGTAAAAATTATAAATGAAATTAATTTCTAAATTCACTTACAGTTTTGATATTTTATACAATCAAGCAATAAATTATTATTTTGATCGATTAATTATTTCAATTTATAAATATTACAATAAATAAATGTATTTTACAATAAATCTTAAATATTTTCGCGCCTTTTATAATAAAATTAAATGCCATGTTTAAAAAGCGCTCAAACTTTTATCGGATCAATTAAGCTAACAGTTTCTATTTAAATTTATATGGAATTCAATTATAATGTTAATTATCATAAACTCTTTTACGTGAGTTAATTATCTACTACATAATTATGAAGAATAATCCAAAATAAATATTACATGAATCATAAAAGTACTTTCGACTCTTCCTGATAGTAATTCAAATAAATAAAAAATATTTCTTATCTATTATATTTCAAAATTGAAAGTAAACAGATATGTTCTATTTACTAATTGTTGGTTATATAACATTAACCAATACACAAAGAGTAATACTAACTTTTAAAAATTTCTAATATGAATTAATCATTCCTGAACTTATACTAAATTTGAGGATGAAAAGTATTCAATATAAAACTATTTATCTGCTTATTTATATTATTACTATAGCAAATATACATTTATAAAATCTCTCTTCTTATTTTAATCTTCAGGTCAAGAACTTATCTCTATTGGATAATGACTAGAATCTCATTGACTTACAAGTTACCATGTCTAAAGCGACTGCAACATAGTAGACAATAATTTTGATACAAACCTCATGTTTTTTTTACAATTATAAAAATAAAGATAACAAATGAACTCTACCATTCGTCTCTATCTCGTCACTAGTATTATCATTTGACCTTAAATAGTAACAAACAAAACTAACCTAGGACAATCAACACATTTTGTAAACTACGTAGGTAGTTGCATTTCGCATATCAGCACACATGTGAGGTCCACTTTGTACTCAAAAACGGCCGCCCATTACTGTATTTAACAGTCTGTACGCTTTGAATACAATGGAACAATTAGTTTTATTCGCGATTTTATTATCTTTTATCGCATTACTAGATCGTGATGTCGCGTAGCAATTAGAGCTTGCAGTACCAACAAATATTTTAAAACTGACTGACAAATATATAATGTTAAAGTTTATAGCTTCGAAAGCTTAAATGATCCATTTAAAGTGTGAGGTGAACTTATATACTTAATTGTTTCATCATCAACTCACTATTCGTCCCCACTGAGTCTACCCAAGTTAGGGGTGACTAGGCCATAGTCAACCACGCTGGGCAAGAGCAGGTTGGTTGATTTTGATAAGTGCAGGTTGCATCAAGATGTTTTTCGTCACTGTAAGAACATCGAATAAATATAGTTATGTAAATCGGAAATCGAAAAACACATTGTTACATGGCGGGTTTCGAACTTAGAACCTGCAGATTGCAAGTCAAGTGCTTAACCCCTGAGCCACCGATGCTCGAGTTAATTGTTTGTTTTTAAATTATTATGTAGTTGTCAGATAATCTAGTACAGAATATACCTAGTGGAGTTCACTGTGAATGTCGCAATAGTATCAGAATGCCGCAGACATTTAGCATGCGCGAGGGCAAGGTATTACAATGGCAAAGTTCCAATACTTATGCATCCTTATATTCCTTCTGATGTGTTGTCGATGTGATTAAAATATAGATTAACATCTTTGTTTGTTAAACAGTTAACTTAATATTAAATTAAAACTTTTTAATGGTATTCAACATTTATATTTTGTAAAGTTTTGTTTAAGATGACTTGTAGTAGTTGTGTGGGTAATTTTGTACTAGACAAAGTGGTTATTTGTCTAAGCATAGGTAGTGACATACAGATAAACTACATCTAATCTGAAGCAAAAAAGAGAGGCAAGAAAAAGACCTCGGGAAGCCTCCTCAGAGATATCATTCAAAATTTACTTATAAAGAAAATTGTACAAGACGTTTTTCTTATATTTATTAGTATTTAATAACATTTAATATAATAAAAGTCGCTACGCACACTAATTTCAATGTGATGAAAAATATTGATTTCTTTTAAAAATGTCTATTACTAGATTATACTATTAATCGAAATATTTCTTAAAAATTTAAGTAAGTAAACAATTCATTTCAATCAAATGAAAGTTGTAAACATAAACATAATTGACGTCTATAATCTTAAAATTTATGTTATATTATGTTATTATTTTATGTTATGAAACTGTTTCAGACTTTATAATTATTAAATGTAATATTTAAATTACATAAATATTTTAAAACACAACCCTTATAGTAGCTGTGAGATGAATTATACGTGAAAATAACTATTTCCTCATGTAGCAACGTGTGAATCATAAAGATTTTTGCGTCCGCATCGGAGATCGACCTTCCTGGCACATGTCCGTCGTCAATAACGCAACGCGTAAAGAACCTCATAATCAAAGCCGATGTGCCATCGTAACTGGCTCGTAGCTCACTCGAATTATTTAGAATGGCCTATAACCGACTTGTTTTTGTTTCATAAACGACTATTTATGTGATTTGTTGCTAATGTTAGATTATAAAAATGACCGGAGCATTGGGGCGATGTATCCGTCTCGCGCTGATTCGGGACGAAAATACAGCGGCAGGTGCTTGCGACACCACGTGCTCGAAAATAAGATGGCGGACTCGCTACCGACTCGTGGTATTGCCAGTTGTAAAATGCGTCATATTCAACTGCTTTACTATCGCGTTTCAATTAAATTTATTAAGTGACTTTTAAACAAAGTTAATTTAAAATTTTAAATTTTAAATTGTAATTTTTAGCGCGGTTATTGGTTAATAGTTAATTTGTAATTTATTAATAGTTTGAAGTCGTATCCATAAATCTTTTTTTTTGCATTTATTTCAACACCGAAACATAATATAGCTGGATTTTATACATTTTAAAATTAACAAAGGTTTAAGGTTATAATTAAGTGAGAATCAATTATAATTTAAAAAAGAAATAGCTGGAGGCACTAAAACAAGTTTCTATGAACTACTTTGGGTATCAATCAAAGCATAAAATCAACAATGGCCGCAGATAATGTGAACCCTATCGGTTGCAAGGGAGCCAGTCACGTGTGGGCCAGCGCGCGGGGCGCATGCGCCGACCCAACATGGCCGCCGACAACCAATCGCAATGCACCCGAACTCGGCATGTAATGCCCTGCAGGCTTCTGATTGCTATTAATTACTTTAGAAACACTATATCAACCACTATAGTATGTTTAAGCTAAGATATTTGAACTTTTTAGACACCCGAGTAGGTACAGTACATTACAAAGGGGTACAGTTCTTTTTCCATACTAAAAAAGGTCGACATCATTGGAATTTTTTTGATATTCGAATCTCCTCTACCATTGCAATTAATTATGGACATCAAAAGTCAATTAACATTCTTAATTATTTAAAAAGAAACGGAATCTGGGGGATATTACGTCGCTTGATAGAGTTATTTTATCATACTACCTACCTTATCTATGTTATTTATTGAAATTCAAAATTAAAATAAGAATAAGCATAAAACATAAATAAATAAAAACATGAATTGTGGAACAACATTATTAACTTCGACTATCTTGACTTGTGAAATATGACGCCTGGTTGTAGGTATTAAACCTTCTTAGAGTTGTCACGACGAAAAATTAGCGCTCAAAAATATCGGTTTAAAAGACAGTTTTATCATTAAGAGAGAATTATTTATGTTAGATATCGATGCATCGCTTAAGACATAATCGAGTTTGTGTGCACTTAAAGGTAATTAACGATTATATTCGCTTACGACATTTTACGTTTCCGATTGATAGTGGGATAACACTAAATTAAGTGGTGAGGAACCTGGCTTAATTAAAGACTGCATAATCGTCAGACATTACCTGAATATAGGGCTGATATGATAACATGTAATCAAACATCTTTATCAAAGTCACATTGACACGTAGTATATACCTATACATATATAGTAACATTCGGTATATACCTGAGCGTCGGTGGCTCAGGAGTCAAGCACTTGACTTGCAATCTGCAGGTCCTGGATTCGAGTCCCGCCAAGTACGAATGTGTTTTTCGATTTCCGATTTACATATGTACATTTATCCGACGTTCTTACGGTGAAGGAAAACATCGTGATGCAACCTGCACATATGTGAGAAGAAATTCAAAGATATGTGTGAAGTCAACCAACCCGCACTTAGCCAGCGTGGTTGACTATGGCCTAATCACCCTTAATTTAGGGTATGGTCCGAGCCCCTCGGTGGGGACGTATAGTGAGCTGATGATGGTTTATACCTTAATTATTTTGCTGCATATATTTAGTCAACCCTAACTTAGGGTAATTTCTGAATACCTCAGTGGTGACGTATAGTAAACTGATGATGATTTTAAGTTAGGTTAATTTAGTTATTTTTCATTCTCTATCACTAAATCGTATAAATCATACCTAACAAAAATTAAATAAAATACATTTAATCGGATCTTAAACTTATTTCAAAATTAAACATTACACAGGCTTTAGACAATTTTAATTATTATGATTTTTAACCTTCAGTTTTTTAACCTGAGAAAAACTTTTCAGAAATTAATAATTACTACATGAATAAAAAAATGTTTTCTCTAATAAAATTATAGATATATTAATTTCCTTTTATACTTACCGCCTTTCCAATGCATATTCGAAGACATTGTAGATTTTTTACTTAATATATATATATTTTATTTATATATCAATTTCTCATATATATACCTAATTCCTATTTCTATAGTAATTAATATATTCAATTCTGTCAGGAGTTCAAACCCGCCTACGTTATAGCCGCATTGATATATGTCTCTGTTGTTAATGTTTTAATAAATTTGTATAAAATAAGCTATTTTAATGTTAATTGCTACTTTCCATTATGTTGTAAACATCACAGTAGAATAAAAACCAATCAAAATTTGCATTTTGCTAAATTTAGTGTCGAGTAATTTTTGCGCTTGATGTTAAGTTCAACAACTATCGAATTGACTAGTTCACTAACTAATCGTTGGTTTCAGATACCAAAATCTCTATAGATACCATACCATCACCACCTATCATTATCTTTGACAATAAACAGAGATAAGTATAAGTTGTTCATAGGGTTTTTGGTCTCAAAAAGCAACGATGAATTAGATAAAACAGAACAAACCTTAAATATCTTATTTTAAACCAATAAATGTAGCTATGGTAATAATTCAACTATTTCATTTGTAAGCTTTTCGCGTTTTATAAAATAAGTGTTTTTGTACTTAGTTTAGTTTTTTTTTTCTAGATTACTATGTAATTTTAATTTCTAACGTTGTGCATGTAATTCTGCCGAAACAATGAACATTCAATACGATTGATAATAGATTTTCCATTTCCAGATTGGATGAGCCCCTTCGACCGCGTGGTCTGCGGTGAGTTTAATGGTATTTATCGTTTCAATTTTATTTTCTTTTAGTTTTAAGTCTTATGTATATAGAAATAAAGATCTACAATCCCTACACATGATCTTCAATCGTTCTAACAGTTCGTTCGAGATTCCTAAGAACTTTTACATTACAAAGGGACCACCCAGGTGTATGTGAAGGCACTATACATAAATAACGATACGAGGCGTCGTTATCGTCAACTATTCTATCTTACGAGCATTCGAAATATAAATCTAGTTCACCAGAAAGCTAAGTTTCTGACTTTCGGAGTAGTTGTACCTAACTACTTGCAAAAGTATTCATTTTTTGCCATTTAAAAATATTGCAAAAAAATTAAATTAAAATTGTTTATGCGATTATAATCTTCTTAATAACGTGTCTTAATAAAATAATTGACTCAAAATTAATTATGATTTGTATTTATGTAAAAATTTAATTATCTTATACATTTTATTTTACTTTTGCACAATTTTTCTGAAAAAAGTATGGTCTTTTAATATTCCGCTATATTTGCATTAGAGAATTTGAAAACTCGTGTAAATTACCTTCACAAATTCTACAACATTCTATGGGACTACGACTCTCATAAATATTCCACATACAACCTCCTTTATTGTAGCATTCTTGGAAACTACGTGGCGTTCGAAATTCAAATTTCAAATATAATGGTATAAGGCACAACTTGGTAACGTGAACGAACTGATAAAATCACGTATATATTTATAGGGACATTTGAAGATCATGTGCAGAGGCAGACAATCCTTTCATCCATGCCTTCCGTAATGTTCTGTTGCAATTATTCATTTGACATGGCTTAGTTGAATCATTGCAATTAACATCACAAACATCATTCCGGAACTTAAAAAACGCTGTTAATTAAAAAAGGTTGTTTAATAATACTGAGGAGGTGTTTATGTGTTTATTTTTATTTATTGTACTTAATGTGTTTAATGTTTACAGAATATCGTATAATATATGAGCACTTGTTAATTACAACCAACTTTTACGTTCCGTATATGTATTTAGGTATATAATAAGTATATTAACAGTACAATTCAACCTATTCTTTTTTAATTTTTAATAAACTAAGACACACATAAGTAAAATTATGTTCTAATGAATGAGAACTTATTTATATTATTTTAAGTTATTGGAGCTACATAGATAGATGTTTCATTGTCAATAAATGTTTTATGAGAGAATTTATGAAGTAAAAATAACATTTTCTTGGTTATTTTTAGTTTATATACACTATGATGATTCAATTATACTGCCTACCTTGGATTAGGTAAAAGGTAAGTAAAATAGGTAGACTTTAAGTAGCAACTATAAACAATCAAAATAAAGACTTTTGCGTATATAAAATTAACAGCATTACCTATTTAAATATGTTTTATTTTACTTTTTAACTACACTATAGTAGTGTTAAATATAACAGGAAAAAATCAGTCGCTAAAAACTTAAATGTCGGCAATTTAAGCTACCTTTTTTACCTTTTGCAATAAAAAGCTACGCACAATAGCAGCGAACAGTTACCTATTCCTACAGAAAAAATACAAAAAGCAAATAAAGGGTTGATAAAGGTAGCATTGTATGAAAACTTTCTCCATAGACAACAGGCAAGGAGTAGAACTGAACATTTAAAAAGAAATCGTTTAGAAAGCGCTACAGTAGTCATTGATAGTATCAGCAGTTTTTTTATGCAACAAAGGTAATAGACACTGGGTTTAACAAATTGTTCAGATTGCACAACACAGTCACGAAATTTAATTTGCTTTCCACCATTCATGAACCAGGCCATAAGAGTTGATATTTTGTTTTACAGCGAAAACAAAAGACAGTAGACATGCTATACAGAATCACGCATTTGATATATGAAAAGTTATGGTCAAGGATATATTTTTAAAAAGGTCTTAATAACTTTAGGACCAATGTCATTGAATAATTAACATAAAACAATTGGTAAATTACTTTATAACTGGTTGACTAAGTTGTTGTTTTCAAAATACAACCCTTTATTGTTATATGGCTCTATGCTTTCTACTTTCACAGGATTTAGAGAAAAAAGGACAACAAAGAGTTCACGGCAATAGGGTTGTGCAAATTCTTATATTGTTAAAACTGCCTTCCTTTGTGCTAACAAGATGTTTACAAATAAGGTATAAGTCAAAGGGTTTTAAATCACGGTGTCGAAAGCTGTTAAAACAAACTAAGAACGGGCCCATTGTTTTGTTGGCACGCTCGCAAATTGCTTTATTACTCAACGCCGTGCGGTCGTTTTACAAAACTCGATATCACCAAATTCGCAGTCAAAACATCGTATTGCTATCACATGCCCCAATGGAGATTGGTTCGTTGGCGCCGGCTCATTGGCCGAACGTTTTTACTTGCATCCGCGCCCGCTAAAACTATACTCGCGTCGTATTCCCACAGTATTTTAGATAAATTCGCGATATAAAACAGTCGCATACGCAAATTTATAGCGGCCATACGCTCAACTGTATAGTGCCGCATTAATACACCTTTATCATCAATATATTTTAGTAATCGACCAAACAGAACAGATTATGCTTTTAGAGCTTATAAAAATCGTTTTATGGCTCCATAACAATTATGAGATAATCGCTGTCAATCGTAACTTCACCGTTACAAGGCGTTTGAGGCTAGTGGAAAAAAAACTCCGCCCGCGAACAATAACAGCTGAGAATTGACCATAAAGTGGCGACCTTGTGGCAATAAAAATTTAACGAGGCAAGCCCGTGGCGTAGAGTTGTATAAACAGTGTGCCAGATTTGTGAACGTGACTGTCATAGAGAAGCCGGCCGACATCTGTACGTGTTGGCGCCAAATTTAACTTTATGATATTAAATTTTAGTGGTAATAGAAAATAATAGTCGATCATTAAAAGTTAATATTTAAAAATGGTAATAGTATCCATTCGAGACATTAATGCAAAAGCAATTTGCCTAAGCATAAAATAGAAGCGTTTTTATTATTTGATTTTGTTGCTACGTAATATTCCAATGTTTAAACTAATAGTTTATCTATCATTTTGTCCTACTTTCCTCGGCATTACGTAGTAAGTGATTTTGATAATGAACTTAGAGTGACCGTAAAAAGCAATATGCTTCCGTTACTATACAGTAAATAATGTCAATGTCAACGGTTATAGCCTGTATTAGAGTACCATATGTTAGGCCGCACGTCGCACGCCGCACGTCTGCCATCAGGCAATATGTATGAGAATGGTTATGGCGTCAAAGAACACATACTTTTTGTCGTTCAAGGCCACAATTGTTGCTATTTAGTGTATTACGTAACTCGCTTTATTTAGCATCGTGACGAAAATGTGCAATAGGTTCGTTGGCCTGCGCGTGAGTGGATTGCGGCGATGCAATTGTTGTGAATAGACAATAATTGGAATAAAGAACACGTGCGCTCTCAAAATATTATCTTCGTGTGGATCTTTGTATCATTTTATTTTATCACAATTTTTATTTCATTTCATTCATAGTAGTTTTTTTTTACTTTTTTTTTTCGTTTATCGTTCTACATTTCAATCAAATGCAATTGGTTATGCACGGCGCCATATAGACGTTATGCTCATAGTATTGGTATTGCATTTAAACATTTTAAACGATTCGTCTCGTTTCAGATAATTACAAATCGCTGTATCTGACCACGAGTGTTAATTCGTTACAGTAATTTATTTAATCCGGTCGTTTCGCCGCTTCCTGTGAATTCCTAGAGAAGGCATAGAAACTTATATAGTTTTTATAGCGGGCAATGAAACTAGTTGAAGTGATTTAAACACATGAAATAGCAAATGTTTAGTGTAAATTTTTTATAGTTGTTCTATGAAAAATACTTGCACGCTTCCTCTTGTGACCGTAACATTTCGGCGCTTTTTAAGTCGGCATCGCGTAAAACTAACGTAACTGACGTAAAACATTTATATCACTTCTCACTATGAAATGTTATTGGATCGCTTGTGAGAGAACTGGCGGAGTGAAACATGATTCATATAGTGATCTCATCACTAGTATTTTGTTCGCAATACGTGCATTTGTTATTTGTAATGCAATTTACAACGTCAGCTCTTGTAATATCCGTAACGTATGCATTTGGCACGTAAAATACAGGACTGTTCGACTTATTATTCATCTTTGTTATGTAATAATAATTAAATTACATCGCAGGTATTCGACCAAGATTCAAATTCCATTTTTTAATTTCTTTTAATAGCTCACAGTAAATTTTCAAGTTCAGTCTGAAACTTAAAATAAACCTAACTTCAACTTTAAGTATAAATATTAAGTTAAGATATCAATTAATATGTTAATAAATTATACTGTTTTTTTTTTCAAAGAATAGATTTGGTAACCTCCTTAATGAATTAAGCAAAAATTAAATTAACAAATATGGTTATACTAAGGTTAAAAGCTTAAAAACAAAGAAAACTTCAGTGACCTAAGGAGAAACAGCCGGTGCTTTGCAATTTTAATTCGTATCCTGTTAACATAAAACCAACATGTTTATGACTCGACGACGAAGACGAAATATCATTTTATGTTGACAGCATAACCTTTATATTTTAATTGCGGTTACGTTATTCTAGAACTAGATAACATCTACTTTGTCATAGTTGAAATGAATCACAATTTAACCTATAAACCGATTAAAAAAATATACTATCTATAAATCTATTAATCCCAATCTTTTTTGTTATATTTAACGTTCTTCACATCTTTTTCAATTATTTTATTTCAAATAATTTAATTAGATTTAATTATCACTAGCCAGTTGTACAATTTAAAGCGCATTAAGTACCAAAAAAAGAAAGAAACCATTAAGTAGAAAAAAAAACATTTATTAAATAAAATTTTCTTTTTCTTTATATTAAGAAAATGATTACTTAAGTGTAGGCGAGAAAATGTGTTTCTAAAAGTATATAATAATGCTTCAAGGCACTTTGACTACGAAAATATACATAAGTC